CCCAGTCTCAGCCCTAGTCGAATTACCGGATGGTCGAGTTGTTCGACGACATCAGGACCATATGCGGAAAAGCCACAGCCAAGACCCAACAAAGTCAAATCCTGAGATTTTAGTACCAGGAGTGGGGTCGGAGGTAGATTGCACAACAGACGCAACCCAACCGAGTAGCCCAACCAAGCCGGTCGTGAGTTCGTCTGATGCACAAGAGGCTAAACCATCACGCCCAGTCCGCGACCGACGTTTACCCGAACGTTTCAAAGACTATGAACTTTAAAACTTATGACACTGCTTTTGAACATTGATTAGCGATCGGCAAGAATCATTATGTGAAAAACATTTGATTGATTTTATTACGCTTCTGCTCAGTGTTTCTTTTTGTTTTGTTTGGAATAGCAGAAGTCTTAAGGGGGAGGAATGTTATAATCTAGTCACGGGCGGAGTCTTGTTATCGGTAATCGGATATCCATGTTGTGTAATGTGGGATTTCAATTCATTCTTCTTCGTGATTATTAAAGCATGTAGATCTACAATTCGCTTCACCTTGATTTATTACAAACACAGAGAAGATGTTGACTCATTTGTGCTTTGACTTCGCAAACAAGCAAGACATTGTGGCTATGGGCCCGCAGAACTTGAATTCACCGTGAGAGATCACTTGTTGGAGAAAATCTCTTCCCTGGAATTACGGACCAAGCTGTTTGAGGAGCCAAACATACAGCTTGCTGCAGCGATAGATAAGGCAAGAGCATATGAAATGGCACAGCGTCAGGCGAGCAGTCTTGCCGAAGGAGAGAAAGACGTGATGTGGTAAAGGACCGTGATAGCAAGAAACCATCAAGTGGATTTGGTAAGCACAAATGATATGCATGTGGCAAGGTGGGACATTTTGCTCGTGACAAAATTTGTCCAGCTCGGGGTAAAAAGTGCGTTAAATGCGGTGATAAAGGACTCTGGACAGCTTGTTGTAGGAGTGAGGCTAAGAGCAAAAAGGGTGGTAGAGTGAGAGAAGGGAGACCGCGTGGTGATAAACAGAGGCGTTCTAGTGATGTCAAACATGATCCAGAATCAGGGAACAGGCAAGTTATTCAAGTGGAATATGACAGTGGAAATGAGGCTTTTACATTTCCTATCAATTTCAAGGGGGAGATAGCCTGTTAGGATAATGCGACAATTAGGCCCTGTTCGCACTAAGACGAAAATTTGAGTTTAGCGTTTGCAAAAAAACTGAAAATTTTGTAATCACCAATTTTTTGTTTTCGTAATCCTGTTCGCACATGAAGATGCTAATTTTTTTTTAGTGACGGTGTCAGTTAGTAATTTGATCAATTTACCATCAAGATGTCGTTTCATACTTGGCATTTTTTCTCTTTGTTCCCTTTTTCGTGTTTTCTGTGCTTCCAGTAGTTGCAGCAGTCGTCTGATCTTCAGTGGATGTTACGGATGTGGATGCATTGTGAATCCGCTCGAGTTTGCTGCGATGGAAACTGTAAGAAGTACTGCTGTTGCGTAGCGATTTGGGAATCGTAATAACTTTGATTACCCTGATCTTGATCTTGGTAGCATTGCGAGCCATAATAATTGAAGTACCATGGATCGATGTTGCTTCTGTGCCGATCCATCTAGCTCAATTAAAATAGCTGGAAGTCATACGGTCACGTTCGCTTCGTAATCCATATGTTGCGAAATTTGATGACCCAATGACAGATGGATGTCAAGGAACAAAGGATTTTCTCGCCTGACAAAATTTTTACAGCCTCCAAAGCTAGTCGACGGAATCTTTGAAGTTTCGTTGCCCTTGCAAAAATTTTGGTGGGTTCAAAAAACCGTTCGCACTAGAAATGGCTGCGTGTTGACAGATTTTTTGGCAAATCAAACAAAATTTCGCGTAGTGCGAACAGGCCCTAACGAAGATTGATAACACAACCACAAGCATGTTTGTTGACTCTGGTGCCCAGTCTACTGTGCTTGGTAAGAAGCAGTTCGACAACCTTGTGAGGGATGGCCTTAAAGCAAAACTGCAACTCGAAGAAAGGAATTTGCGAGGGTATTTACCGCTTGTGGGTAAATTTGAGGCACGTATTTAGAAACTATCCTTGTGACACAAGGTGAAGGATGGTGTTTACCTGGCAAACAACTGCAAGTGTTGGGTGTTTGTCCAGAACTGGGGGGTGTGGCTAAAGTTTTTTCTGTGAGCGGTGGCATTGATGGTATTGTAGATAATTTCGGAAAGGTGTTCTCTGGAGTTGGCAAATTGTCAGGCTACCAACTTAAGCTGCACATTGATCCGGAGGTGAGACCAGAAGCACAGAAACCTAGAAGAATTCCTTACCCCTTGAAAGAGAAAGTCACTAGGAAAATCAACGAGCTCCTTGATCTTGACATCATTGAGAAGGTTTCAGGTCCAACAATGTGGGTCAACCCAGCTGTATTTGCCCCCAAGTCGGACAAAGATGACATGCGTATCTGTGGGACACGAGGTGTGCTAATCAGGTCATGCGAAGAGAGAAAATACCAATTCCAACTGTGGTTGAAGTCCTGGAGGAACTGAATGGGGGCACAGTCTTCTCTAGACTTGCAACGAACATGGACTTCCATCAAATTGAGCTGGAGGAAGGTTCCACGGATATCACAACATTTTCAGCTTGTGACTCGCTGTTTTGTTACAAGAGGCTGAGCTTTGGTATAAACAGCGCCCCTGAGCAGTACCAGAACATCGTGGGACAAACAATCACCGGATGCCCAGGAGTCACCAAAATCGCGGACGACATCATGGTACATGGCAAAACGACCAAAGAACATGACAGAAACCTTGTTGCCTTGCTAAACAGATGGCAAGAGAGAAACCTTACCCTGAACAAGACTCAGTGCAAGATCCGGATGAGTCAGACTGTATTCATGGAACGGATTCTGAACAAGCATGGTCTGGGACCACCAGAGGAGAAAGTCAGAGCCATTTGAGAAACAAAGGCTCGAATCAATGTTGCAGAACCGCGAAGATTTCTGGGCCTTGTCAGTTTCAGTACACGGTTCCTGGCCGATTTCGCGATGACTGTGGAACCACTCAGGAAGTCGACCCGCCAGGTTACTGAGTGGCAGTGTGGCAAAGAGGAAAATGAGGCATTTGAGGCTCTAGAGGATCAGTTGGCAGAGGCATCGATGATGGCTTTCTACGACAAGGAAGCACCAACAGAGGTAGTTACAGGTGCTAGTTTGGTCGGTCTCGGGGCCGCTATACTCGTGCAAGTAAAGCAGGGAGTGAAGAGAGCAGTTGCTTTGCAAGCCGAGGCTTAAGTGATGTCGAGCATCGATACAGCCAGACGGAAAAGGAGGCTCTAGCGGTTGTCTGGGCCTGTGAGAGATTTCATCTCTACCTTACTGGGTTACAGTAATTTCAACTTGTCACCGACTGTGAGCTCTGAAAGCTGTCTACGGTTCTAGGTCTAAACCATTGGCCAGAGTTGAGAGATGGGTTCTGCGTCTGATGCCTTTCAGGTGCACAGCGTGCGTCATGTAACTTTAGGCCAGAACATACCTGATTGCCTAAGTCGTTTGACAAAGATACCAGCTTCACCTCGTGGTGTAACCGAAGAGTACGTTAGAATGGTACCAGATAATGCAACACAACGCGCGATTAACACTAGAGAGATAGAGAGAGCTTCTGCTGAGGATGAGGAACTGTCGTTGTTGGAGGACGGGGGACTGGTCCGCGAAATCCGAACCAAGATGCCAGAGTTCGAAGGCGATGAAGAGGAGGAAAGGTCAGGTACCACTGATCAGCAGGCATGAGATCAGGATGCAGAGAGGAAAATGCGAGGGGCTGAAACTGCAAATAGGAGAGCTGCAGAGTAAGACGTAGCAGAAGGAGACAAAGTGCTGTTGTTGCGAAGGAAACAAAACAAGCTGTCTACAACATATGATCCAGACCCATACAGTGTAGTGTCCAAGAAAGGAGACATTGAACAAGGTGAAAACCTACTCAAGAGGAATGTAGGCTGTGTGAAGAGGTTCAAAGGACCCACACCACAGACTCGGCAGCCACAGCATGTGGGAATATAACCATTAGCGCAGCCATTGGTTCAGCAACCAGTAACAGAACTAGCTACCCTTCCTGTTCCTGAACCGGTTGAAGTCTCATCGCAGGAACCAGATGAGTGACCAAGCCTATACTGGAACCGCCACCACAACCCGTTGTTGTCCGCGTACCAGAACGAACCAGTAAACCTCGAAGATCGACGCGGCAAAGAAAAGAGCCAAGGTGGCTCAAGGACTATGTTACGTGAAAGGATAAGCTAAGCTACTTAAGATAGTTGTTGATATGACTGCAAAATGAAGACTATGATAAACTTGGAGTTCTAACTATGGCGTTATTCGTTGAACAAGAGACTATAAGTTTTTCATTTTGAAAGTCTTTTATTAGCACTGGATTTTGTACCCTTTACTTGTTATAGTTTATACTTTATACCTGATTTTGTCTAACCTTTCATCGTACCATTGCATTTATTTAAAAAGAGGGGAGATGTAGTGATTGTAACTGGGTTGCCTGTGCAAGCCCAGCCCTAAGGCATTGTGGGTAGTACAATAAAGGAAGATGGTGGCTTGAAAACGGGTGTGTGTTTTCTTGTGTGGAATCTGCCTGCATTGAGGACCTGTCTGGTGTTCAGACATTACAGTAATAAAAACTAAAGAATACTAAACAAGTGAGATAAATTGTCTTCAAGTACACTGAGCAAGATCAGTAATATTTATTATTATGAATTGTCCTTGTTGTTTCATCTCTATAAAAAATTGTCTTCAAGTACACTGAGCAAAATCAGTAATATTTATTATTATGAATTGTCCTTGTTGTTTCATCTCTCCCCTAGCCTACTTTATTTCTCAATCAAGATTGACTGATCATAAGACTCATTCACAGGTGAGGTTAACAAAACTTTGTAGAACTAAAAATATTTCTCCAGTTAGACAATTTCTTTACTTTTCCCTCTAACTGCATGTACACATTTTAAAAACTGTAAGTACATATAAATATATTTAATATACTTCCCAATAATGTGCTTTTCAAAGTGGCAATTACAAGTTTTCCATCTCAAATCATGTTTTGTTGATATTACAGTGATCGACAATGCACACAGTCCACTTTTCAATTTCACCCACCAATCAAGATTCTGGGTTCCACCAAACGTCCCAAAGAACATTCTGCCACTCTTATATGGGAATCCCCATACTGGAATCTTTCAGTTACTTGTAAGCGTAAGTTACATTCTAGTGATGAAATCTAGTTAGTAGAATTCTACTAATGATTCAATATGAGTGGTTGAGTACACTATCGGCATCAACTGATCATCATGCATGTCTTTACGTAAGGACTCTATCATGCGGGATGCCTGAAAACTAAAGACGAAATGAATTTATTTATTGAAATTTCCAACCACTATGGGGTACTTGGAGTTTTCGCATTTTCAAAAAGATATCCTTTTTGGATGAGAGTAAATTTATATGCGTGCAAAGAATATTCTACATATGAAAAACAAATCTTGCAAATCTCTGAAATCTCTGCAACCACTTGCCGTTTTACTGTACTGTAGTTTTCCTTTAGTTAGCTTTCAGCCTGAAAACTACTTCTTCGTCCTATCTTCTAATGAGGTCCATATGGGAGGGTGAATTCATTACATTTTCATCTAAAGAACTGTAACTAAAAGATTCGTTTCATGAGCTTCTTTGCTGAGCATGCCGGCACTATTGTCTGGCAGCCCACGGGCATTTTCTCGCCTGATAGCTAGTGCTCATCATTTTGGCAAATGATGACAAAAGAAAATTTAGTGCTAAACTATACCAGCCTTCGATACGTGATAGTTGTCTCCAAAAATGGCTCCAGACGTTTTCTCGTTTTTTCCAAAGTTTTGGAGGAACATTTTAGAACATTACTCGATAATATTAAATTTATGATATTAAATAATGGAGACTCGACGATAAGCAACTTTAACCACATATACAGCTGCTGTAACTTCTCAAATGAGAGTTAAGTTCAAGCACAAAGGGTGAAGTTTAATACTACTACTTATATGTTGAGTTATAACTGGAAATTGTTATTTGAGGGAAATAAAGTTAAAACAAAATTTGTACTAAAAAAATAGATTATGCCCTCTCGATTTCTATGAAGTGATAATTAAATTGCCCTTTGGCTTCATCAACTACCTCCTGAAAGAATTCTTGAGCTCATCCATGTAATATTAATAACTAATTAGTTTTAATGTGAGCTGCAACATTACACTAATTGTATTTAGCCTCTAATGTTCCTATCCTGTGGTGGTTTAGTTTGGTTCTGAGTGAGCACTGAAGCTGTGTTTACAGAGGCCCCAGCCATTTCTACAAGCATAGCAAGCAAGTTATTAAAAAATTGATGATGTACTATTACTTAACTCTTATGTCCTTAGTATGGCCATTGTTATAAGACCTAAAAATAAATGGCATGCATGAATGTTAATCATCAAATATTCTTTACAACTGCTTCAAAAAATATATTAGCTTGAGAAGTGTGAGTGTTTCATCTGTCACTAGTTTAATTTCCAAGTGTGAGTACACACAGACACTGTGTATACAATCATGATGAAATCAGATTGCTGGACTTCATGTGTATCGGTGAGAAGGTGAAAAAGGTTCTATTCGCTCACATAAGCTGGAAGTGAGATCCCAAACAACTGTTCATATGGGGAACAATTACTTCCTTTCAATATTTTGAATGAAATACTGAGAAAATATTGTGAATAATTTCCAATAAAACCACTTTTGATATAAGTTGATGTCTTTTATCAATATAACTACACACAATTGTATTATTTCTATCAGAGTGTTTAAGAAACAAAGACCAAAAAATTAATGTGTGACAAACTCACGTCTAGAGGTGCCAGTAGAGAATCCCACAACTTACAATTTAAAGAAAATTTCACCTGGTCCTGTCGGTTTATTGACAGAATCAAGTCTGGCTTTAAAACATTCTTTCTGTGTGTTCAATCTTTCTACAGCTGTAGGTATATTTTTTCCTTTCAACTACAACAGTACTGTGGTCTGAAAGATTTACCATAGTTCATTTAGGAATGATTCAGCCAGCTTACCTAAGATAAAAGCAGCCAATAACTTCTGATTGACAGATAACAGAAGATAGTGAGGCAGATCTGACTGCTTTTCACTTTCCAATGGTAACATGAGAGCGATAATACAGACAACAGCCATTATTATCACCCACAAACTGGGACCCTGCTGATCAGCAATTCCTGTAAAATAAACAAAAATGTTAGTGCAGTTGAATCCTTATTATGAAGCCACCACGTATTAATATGCATGTAAATGTGATTCCTCAGAAATAAAAATTGCCTATGTAACTGTGCTGACATTCATACCTGTGCTGCCATTGAACAGTAATCACACATGTTATTTAATCCATTTACGTTATATTTTATAGTAGCAGGAAGCAAATTTTAAATGGCAATTATTAAACTCAAAACGTGAACTCCTCAAGTTGTTGTTTCCAAGGACATAATAACTATGTGCATAATTAATTGCATCCTTGATCGACAATATTGAAATTTTACCTGCTACTTTAAAATTTGATGATAATGACAGTAATTATAATTAATAACTGTTTTAGATAGAATTGGACATTAATTTTTAAAATTATCAAAAACCATGAATTTGTTAAACTAAGTTGAACATTTCAAAAGGTGCAATCAGTTTAATACCTCCTGGATTTACTTTGTGGATAATGCAGCTTCCCAGAGGCTACATCACTAGCGGGTAGAGAGTATTTCACCATATCCAACCCCACCCCTGGGGGGTACTTACTTCTGCCTGAAAGGGGTACCTTTTTCAGGTTTCAAGTATATAAAAGGGTAGGGATTTCACAAGCTGAGGTATGTGAACGGGAAGAAAATCTATCACATATTTAAAGAGCCTTTAATTAAAATATTTTGAAGAGACACCTTGTGGCTGTATCTGGTAATGTTTTATGCTCTCCTGTAATATTGTTCATTTAACTTTGTTCCAAGGGTTTAGGAAAGGATGCAGTGTTCTTAAGTAGGCATGTCAAAGGGATACCTTTTTTCAATAAAAGGTATATGAAAGGGTAGCCTCCTATGCAGACACTCTTTGGGCTTGTCATGCAATCTTCCTTCCCCATGAACATCTGCTGAAACCAAGGGTACATTCCTTTCCCTTTGTTTGCTCGCGTTCTGATCAGGGCTGTGGACTTTCGGCTTCAATATTGCAAGAGACTTCAACGGATACCAGCGTGGCCTTTCAACGAGTATCTGGACATTAAAACCTTCGATCCAAATAACTTATCTGTAAAAAGCTACAGAGTGTTACGTGAAGAAAGAGATAGACGTATTCGTACGTAGACATTTGTTAATTTGGTTAGTTCCTCTCAAATGCTGAAGCCTGCGCGAAGTCTGCTTGGAACTTGAGAAATGATCCCAAGACGCCAAAATATGTGGCCTTTCATTGAGTTTGTGAGAAATTTACGATATTATGTTTAAATCAGTGGCCCTTGAGAAACTATAGTGTATTTCGGCGTGAAAAAGATGAAGTGCTCATAAATCTACGAACTTGGATGGGATCAGAATTTCATTTGAGAATGTTGCTGTTGACGTGAAGGAAACAGTTTGTGTCGCAGTTCTCACCTCAAGGGAGCCTTTTTACTACACAACGAGCTGGCACTGATTGGCTCCAAATAATTTTCATGTGATCCCCAGCTCAGCTTTACCACAAAGGGTAAGGAATGTGCTGTTTTTTTCAGCAGACATTCAAGGGGGAAGAAGATTGCACAAGGAGCCCAAAGAGCGTCTGCGTAGGAGGCTAATGAAAGGGGTACCTTTTCTGTCTAAATGGTATACAAAAAGGTAGGGGGTTAGACCTCGGGGTGCGGCCTTCCCATATAAAACTTTGTGAAGTAACCCCCTTCCCTCCATCCTGGGATCCACCCCTTGAACAAAAAGGGTATTAGAAAATCATATTTATAGAATCGAATCAATTAACATACTAAAGCATATTTGGGAAGTTTGCAGGGTATAGCTCAAACCAAACTCAGCAAAGCTTATCCCAAAATTCTGCACAGAGTATTCTGATGCCGTGGATTCTCACAACAACCTGATTGCAACAAAGAAACAACAGTGTATGAAAAAATATTGCTGACAGCTGATGACTTTGTGAAGAAATTAGAGATATTCACCTGAGGCAGTAAAGTGCTCTGTAATGACACTACTGTTTCCTGTTCTCTGTAATCTCTTTAAAGATCTTCCCTCTTCTCTGGTCTAAGATGAAATATTGCTAGGTTACATTTCACTAACAACAAATAAATCAATATCCTTGTTGTGATGAGCTTGCACTTAAACTACAGTTTACTACTACTCCTAGCGCCTAATAACTGGAACCCCCAGTAACACAAATCTTGCACCAACTTGAACCAATTATTATGAGTAAAGTTGTTAGAATTCTCTAGGATTTGCTAGTAACATTTGCTTACCTGCAGTATCTTAAATCTTCGATAAATCAATCCTCTCGCTAAATCAAAGACTGAGATTTTTTACCTTCAAATCAATTTCTTTTGAATTCCACCCTCAATTACTTGAAGCTCATTTGTCAAAGTTCAATCAGTCAAAGCTCTCCAGAATCACTGAGAGAAATAGATTGGTTGCATAGCATTGTAGACTATTTTTATTAACAGATAAAACAGACTATTTATTATAATTACAGTCGCTTGCAGTGTATCAAGTTAGTTATTTTCGAGAGGAAGAAGGTATAACAATTTTTTCATTGAAAGGAAAATACTTATGGTTCTTCCTTAGCGATTCAATTCAGGGAAAGCCTTTGTGGTTTTTCCTTCACAAACCTACGTGATATTGTGAGTGCAAAAGCAATCGATATAAACGAATGATTTAAGGCTCCAGACAATTTTTTTTTTTTTAACACAAGAAACAGAAAGACAAACGTTACCTTCAGTAAATGTTTTCTTGACAGAAAAAGAAAAAAAAACAATGAAAAAGAAAAGGAAAAATAAACAGTAGACACCACTGGGATTCGAACTCCCAACCTCCCACATGGAGAGCCAGCGCTTATCACCCTGAGCTACTTGTACATAAGTTACCAATGGGTGAAAGTATTAATCTTTGGATTACATACTGCAGGCTCAAGTTTCTTGCTCAGTCTATACCTCACTTTTGACCAAACAAAATTATCTTGCCATTTTTGACTACAGCACAAGGAAGACATGTACAGATACATGTAATGTAAAACGTGTTGGCAGGCCTGAGTAACAAACAGTTTCCTAACATTGAACTTTTTCATTTTGCAAATATCACAACACACCCCTGAATGGAAAAAGGCTTTATGAGCTTGTTTGAAAGCTAGACTGCCCTCAGATCACAAGTAGTTCCTTAATGAGCAATGCCTCATAACACCCTTTCTTAATTTATTTTCCAAGTTCAGTGGCTCACAGCCACATTGATTCTTTTCCTATCCATTGCCTTCAGCCACTTTGATAGTAATATTAATAACCACCCTTTTTTATTTCAACTTCTTTGGGGTATTTCTGCCCCCAAAAACTATTTTCACTGTTGTGCAATGTTATTCACGAGAATACATGTATCTAAAGATGACTGTGGATAGACAACATAATTATGTCTTGAAAAACTAAAGCCATGTTGCTCTTTGAGAAATTGTCTATAAAAAGGGCAAAACTTAGGGTTAGGGTTAAGGTAATTGAAATCATTCAAAATTCCAACTTGGAATGGACTTCCTTTGATGTTGTCGATCTGTTCTCTTGCAATATCTTTTAATTGCTCATATAGGGTAACTGTTACCCCATAGGAGATAACTTATTAACTAACGGTTATTATTTCCATCCAGAATTGAGTTTTTCTGATCAAATGTTTTGGCTTTGAAATAAAATTGGCTGCCATATTACTAGTTTTTTTGAGTGATTGCAGAAGCAATGGTTAGAAGTCAAGCAGTGTCAATACTCAAATTTACTAGTGAAAATGCTGTAAATTTGGTTGGCTGAGCTAGCGTACACTATTAGCCGTTTGTAGTTTACCACTAAATTTCTGTTATTTCGATTGGCTTAAATTGATCCTGAGTAATGTGATTGCATTCATCTGTGGTGGGCCACTATCAGCCTTTATAGTTCACCACTAAATTTTCTGTGATAATTTGTGATTTGCTCAAAACAGTATATCCAGCACTTTCCAAGACTTAGATTTTGATGGCTCACTATAACCACTCTTTTCAGTTGAGGCCACAATAATGGGAGTTGAGCTGCATTTGTGCCAGCCTGCACCATCCCTTCTCCTCAATACTCAGTCTAATCTGTTTCTTTTTACAAAACTGGTAGTAATCAAAGATTAGGAGTGCGTTTGTTTTCTACGCCTGTGATTAAGTTAAATAGCTGTTTGTTGCTGAAATCATTATCTTTGTGAACAGCTGAAGTTTTATAGACAGATGTAACATAATGACAAAGTCCACTATTTTTGGGTAGATTACAGTCAAACCTCTAAAAAGCAGCCACTCTGGGGGACGAGACAACTGGCTGCTTCTTAGAGGTATAAAACAAAACAAGATCAACCTTGGGATGGCAAAAAGCTGACCGTGGCTGCTTAAGAGAGGTGGCCATTGAATAGAGGTTTTTATTACAGTGTACAGCTGACAATCTTTTCTGGGATTTTGGCCGCTGGCAGCCAAATAAAAGTTGGTTGCTTAATAAGGGGCTGCTTAATAGAGGTTTGGCTGTATTTTGATTTCCTTGCTTTATTGTTGACACGTTGTGTGACGGCTCCAGTTTCGGTAAGTCATGAGTTTAATAGAACATTTGCCCTCAAAATTCATGCTAAAATCTCCTCATTTTTACTTTTACTGGCAATTTTTAAGCATAAAGGTTAATTTTTAAAAGTATACTTGTGTTACATCTGGTATTCTAAGTTGGAAGCGCAAATATCAGCTAGCATTTGCACTCATGTGCCAGTTTATCCATGGGTTATCATAAACAAACTCTGTGCGACTGGCAACTGATTCGAATACTTCCGCTGATGAATAGAAATAATCAGCATTTACATTGCTGTTCCTTAGTTCTGGCTTACTCTTATAGATCTTGACTTGAGAGGACTCTGCCATCAATTCAATTTTGAGCTTCGTTGGATAATGAACTATTTTTGGCCACTGGAACTAAGTAATTAAAGTCAACAAAATTTGTTTATGAGGCAGGAAATATAAGTGATAGAATCTGACGTTTCAGTGCATCTTGTGCAAATTTGCTTAAACTTAGCTTCTTCACAAACCACTTTTTATCTTTAATTATGTAACCTTGATAATGGCACAAGATGGGTGATGGACAAAACACTGACCACCAGTCCATGGACTACCCAAATGGACTACCCTGAAATGGACTAACCTTCAAAATAATATTCCAAATAAGTACTATTTAATGTTCTTAGCTGCTAGTATAGCTGGTAGTATACTTAAATTACACATAACTTCCACTTATGATCATCTTGTACAGCCTCTAACCACCATTTTGAATAATTATACTTTGAATAAAAAATTGCTGAACATAAAATGGTGTGAAAAGCGTAAATTCAAACCAAATTTCATCATTTAATTATCAATGGCTGTTATCAATCAGAGGTACCAATCAGTATCAGGATCATACAAGTGTAAACATAATAACTTGAAAAGCGACTGAGATGTGAGTGAAGAACCCAGTCTAATATTTGATTTAGGAATAGCGCATTACTAAATGTAAATGTCACACGATGATTTTCAGTTTTATTCCATACGATTCAGTCAGCCACTACACATGCACAAGCTAAAAGATGACATGATAGGAGGTGACAAGAATAATGGCTGAATAGTAAACCTTCCTGGAACAATGACAAATTAACAAGGTAGTCAGAACATTCAATTCCTTTCCATCTATTAATAGCCCTTAATTGTTCCCAAATAATTTGGAGGCAAACAGCCTGAATCTGAATGTTTACAATGCACTTGAGAAAAATACTGGTTGCTGGCGTTGTTGTTGTTGTTGTTATTATTATTATTATTATATTATGCTGGCGTTATTATATTATTTTTAGGGTTAGTCCATTCGGGTAGTCAATGGACGGGGGTCAGTGTTTTGTCCATCACCCGTAAGATGTACTGAAACGTTGGTTTCTATCCCTTATATTTCTTGTCTCATGTATTTCCAAATCTTTTCTTATAAAATTTGTTTACTGGACTCAAAATATAGCCAATGAAATATAGCTCTTCCCATGGTTAACATCCCAAAGCCAAGGTAATTCAAAGTCAGAACAAATAATTGTTGTCCCAGTTATGTAACAAAAGCACATCATGTCGCATCCTGACAAAAGAGGCCACTTACGGTCCAGAATCAAAACACGTACTTTGCAATGATGTTATTTGTCTTCACCCAGCCAAAAAATATCACTTTAGACTGCACTGGGACTGCATTCCCTTCTTTGTTGAATGCAATCAGAGTGAAAAACCAGTTCAAAGAACACTCCAAAACATTGAAAACAAAGAAAGAAGCCACAAAAGAGAACAAGAATGACATAGCAGATGGACACGGCTATTGGATGGACATTCAGCACATGGTTTGGCAATGATGTCATTCATTTTTGCCCCTGCTGCAGGGCAGCCAAATCGGTCTTGCAAGATCCAAGATCCACTGTCCCATGAAACTTGACTCAAGTCTGCATTAGGACTGCGTTCTATGAACGCAATAGTAAAGCTCTTAACTAGAACAGATATGTTTTTGCTTAGCAGATAATTTCAATTAATTTTAATTAGTAGCTATAGCTTTCTCTGCTTGTAAATTACTCACTGTTTAGTGTTATGTAACCTGCATGTGTATATATGTGTCCTGATTGTCCATTGTTGAATAAGATTGCAATAGTCAATCATATTTATTAATTATTCAAGAAGTAAAATTAATGTTTAGATAAGTACCTGTTGTTGGGTCCTGCTGGGCTCAAGTATAGCCATGATTTCTTTTTTACCAATAACCTCCTGCAAGCCATGCTCAAATATGTGAAGTCTAAATTTGTCGTGCTGTCTGATAGATGGTTGAATGTCAGTGTGACGGATGACACTGAAAGAAGTAATGTTTCAAATGGAAAAGCCATTGTATTATTGACAGTAACTGCACCTTTCAATTACACACAAACTCTTAAGCTCAAAACCTGAGCTAATGGTTGTATATTACATTACCATCACTTGACTTTTTGACTCGACCAGAGTTTGTGCCTTTTTAAAAAGTGCTGTTAATTTAATACATGTAGTACCATATCATCTTCTGCCAAAACATTAGCAAAACTATATCCAATAATGACAATTTATACACCAGGCATAGTCAATCAATGAAAATTGATATCAGAAATCAATTGACATCAATCACTGATAGCTATCGATTAATATTGGCAATCGATAACAATAAATAATTCCTGTCTTTGGGAAAATTGATTGTTATCGATTGAAAAAAAATCGACAATAACCACCTGAGAACTAAGATGGCTTTGTTATTGTGTAAAATAACACCTGAGACAACACGAGATGTGAACTCATCTTCAGCATGGTGCTGTACTAGATTATATTTTCCTTTTGAGGAAGCGGTAGAGCACTCAAGAAGTAGGGAAAAACACTTGACTTTGTCCCATGTTTTCCCCTACACTTCTTTTGTGCTCTAACGCTTCCTGTGAGCTTTACAACAGAACAGAGCACAGTCGAGGCTTCTTTATTTGTTACATCAGAAGCATATCAAATAATTTCTGATAACAATCGATAATAATTGATACCAATCGATGAACCAATTGCTATTGATTACTATTGGCAATCGATAACAATTGATAACTCACAACTTTTTTTCTTCATTGATTGCTATTGGCAATTGTTACCGATTAATATCGATTATTGCTTTATCACTTGACTATACCTGGTATACACCCGCTTTCAGTGTTATGTGTATAGGCAACATCTTTCAACCATCAGACAATTTTTCCAGTTACTGATGGAAGAAATGACAGATAAATGATAATCACTTACCTCAAATGGCTGAAGGAGATAATGATTGTGGACTTTATATGTTTCCAGATTTACAAGAGCCATGTACTTACAATGCTTTGCGTGTAGTTGATTGGCTCTCAATAGTGACTTCCAGTAGAATTAGGCTGCTACTGTTGTAAGATGTCAACATTCAAAACAGTTGATTTATCTCTCACAGAATGACTTCTTGATTCTCCTAACCTTAGTTTGATGTCAACTAAAACCGTCTTTCACGACTAAAAGTGATCAAAAGTCGAGTTCAACCGTAAAAAAGTCTGTTGTGTTTACATTTTTTACCTAGGCCAGGTTACGCAACATATCAGAAGATGTGGCCTGTGCACCTAACACTGAAAGCGAGTGTGAATAGTAATAGTAGTATTTAAACCATTACATGCGGGGTGTGTTGCTGCCACCCCTATTACCATTACTTTGTAGGGTGTGTTGCTGACAAACTATTACCATTACTTTGCGGGATGTGTTGCTGTCCTCCCTATTTCAAGTTCCCAGCGAGCACCCAACAATCTTAGTCCCATTCACTGCCAAACAATTGTGTAGTTCAAAAACATAGAGTAGTGGTAGTCAGGAGCTAACATTGTAAGATAATGGTTTGACACTGACTATTTTTTGATGTTTTGTTCAAGACGTTTCGTCTGGTGCAGTTGAAATATAATGTTAGTACGTGTGATTCAAAAAGGAGCATGTCAAATGCGTGCTGAGGAAAATTCCACGGGAAGTTTCAAGAAAACGTGGCGTAAGACTTATGTGCGTGCCAAAGACTTGAAGACTTCTGGGATGACGATGTAGTCATTTCCAGATTGCGGATCCTTTATTGACATCCAGGCTTCCAAGAAGAGTTGCTTGTGAAAGTTAGCCCATGTCCAACAACTCTGACACTTCCAAAATCCATTTTGTGGTTGTTTTCGTGGACATGGCAGGAGATTTTGGAGTCATGGTTGAACATAGAAACAGCCCTTTCGCGTTCTGTAATCCGTTTTTTCAAAACTGCAGTTGGTGTAACTGATTTTGTACACTGATTTTGTACCATCAACACAGAAAGGGAAATGTGAACAAAATGTGTGAAGGCTGTACTGCTCATCCTTCATCAACAGCTGTGAAAGATTGCTGTCGAAACCCCCACCGATCTACCATCCAATGATTTCGTGGTGCTACCCTATGTGCAGGGCATTTCGGAAAGGATTAGTCAAATCTTAAGGCAACAACAAATCAAAGTCACCTTTAACTCATTCAGAACTGTGAACAGTTTGTTCCCAAGACCAAAAGCCCAGGAAAAGGTTGACCAGCCACAATCTGGTACAGTGTACAAAATCAATTGCACCAACTGCAGTTCTGTATACTACAGTCGAACTGAACGATCACTGAAAACTTGGATTACAAAACAAAACAGGGCTGTTTCCATGTTCAACCATGACTCCAAGATCTCCTGCCATGTCCACGAAAACAACCACGAAATGGATTTTGGAAGTGTCAGAGTTGTTGCACATGAGGCTAACTTTCACGAGCGAGTCTTCTTGGAGCCTGAATGTCAACAAAGGATCCACAATCTGGAAATGACCACATGGCCATCCCAGAAGTCTTACTACAAGTCTTTGGCATGCACATAAGTCTCACGTTACATTTTCTTGAAACTGCACACAGAATTTTCTTCAGTGCGCTCATTCAACGCGCTGCTTTTTTAATCACACGTTCTAACGTTAATATTTCAACTGATTAAGGCTCAAGCACCAGCTGAAATGTCTTGAACGAAACATCAAACTAGTGAGACAATCTCTGATAGTGCAGAGTGCAATTGATAGCTCTGGCACGGTAGTCACACAGGTACTCACCCCTGCTCGGTTCACTTCCAGTTTGTATTTACCTTGGTGGTCAATCGATAAAAATCGATATCGGAAATCAAGCAATTTAATTGACATCAATCAATATCAATAGCTGATTGCTATCAATTGATATTGGTAATTGATAACTCACAGAAAAATTTCTTCATCAATTGCTATTGTTTGGCAAAAATCGATAGCAATCAATAATTCCTGTCTTCAAGAATATCGATTGTTGTCGATTTTAATAACATCGACAATAACCACCCAGACTATTCAAAGATGGCTTTCTTATTGTGTAAAATAATACCTGGAACAACACAAGACGTTCATCTTCAGCATGCTACTAGATTATCTTTTCCTTTTGGCCTACTCCGAGTTCTATTCTTAAGTTTGTTTCCTAATGCAAATAATTGAAACTACTAGAACACTGACTCTGTTGTTTATTTTGGTTCATCTTAATGCCGATGCTACAATGCAACTGGAGGGTTTTAAGCTGTTACTCTGACCTGAGCTTCTTCTGGCGTTGTAAAATGTTTCTGTTGTTTCTGTTCTTGTTACTTCGTCAATGATGGTTTAAGATACAGGCTATGATTAAATGACTCAATAAAACCATTAAGGTCAAAAGCCGATGTTTCGGCGTCATTCTCACGGCAAGGTGAATAAAATTAATAATGTGAAGATTTGATTTCTATACAGTGACTCTACAAATTAGCATAATAATTAGTAGTAATCAAAGATCATGAGTGCATTTGACATGATCACTTTCATATATATACCTTAAATGATTTAACTAGCTGACTTTCAAACTCTGTCTATTGCTAAAATCAACATTTTTCATGAACAACCAAGGTTTTACACAGACAGATATATCATAGTGTCAAAGTCCAAAAACATTGCATGATGGTGCCAGTTTCCATAGACTTGCAAAAATAGTAGGCCTTCAAAATTTCATGTTTTGATGTAAATTCAGCATGAATTCAAAACATAAACAAAAGAACAAGCTTAAACTTTTGCCTGTAAGCAATTTTAAAGCTCCCATTCGATTTGCGTTCATGAAAATCTTCTCGTTTGCCCAAAGGGAAATTCGGTTTGGTTTGCACAATTTCATAATTCAGGCTCTGCGTCTATGCCAAATTTTGTTTGTTGTTTTTAATTTACTTTCAATGACCTGAGACTAAAGGGGACCAGAACAACATAATCATTTACACTCGTGTGAAATAAATAAACTGTTATTCACTAAGCCATTCAACTAGCTGAACATTCTATATATAGTAAATGGTTTGAACCCAGGAGTATCAGTAGTTCGTACAGTGTGATCGTCTGGGTGAGGGTAGTTCTGAAAAGAACTGTTGTTGGTGATTGATGTTTTGCCAACCTGAGCGGAAGTCATCTTCAGAGTCAAGTGAATAGTTTTTGTCAGTTGATGATGTTATAAGTCTGGTCTGTTGAACGTGATTGGTCAGTTTAGCCATGATGGTATTGGCTGAAAGACTCGTGTAAAGTTTGTCATCAGTCATCAGTGGGTTTCAATCCGTCTATTGTTAGTGAAAGTTTGGTCTGTCTATTGTTAGTCAAATTAAGTCGGTCTGTTGGAAGTCCGTTTGTCGGTTTCGTTTCCGTCATGGATAA